GAAGAGGTTTTCATTTAGTCAAAATGGAAATATCTTATCAGAAGTAGAAGTCAAGGTAGGATGGCGTCAAGAACTGTAAGAACCAGAGCAAAGCTATTAAGGCGAAATAGTTATGGAGATACTCTTACGAGCCCCATGCCTTTTGGAGTAGTGTTATGGGGAGCTGGATAATTGGGTTTCTAAAAAAGTTACTACACAACAGCAACAAGACTCTTTTTTGGACAGACAAGAGCTTACTACATAAGTTATTTTTTGCATTGTTTCCTGTGGCCCAACATCAACACAAGACAGTAGTTGAGGCATGGACCCATCAAGGATGGAATTTGATCCTCGAAAGACATTTGAATCATTGGGAGATCCCAAGGTTTTCTAATTTTTACAAGTTTTTTGGGAATTTTTCAAGGGCCACAGAGTGGAGTTGACTGCTATGGGTGGAATGGACATAGCAAAGGTATTTACAAGGTGAGGGAGGGGTACAAGAGTCCAAATTAATCTTAGCCATGGATCATTACATGACCATGGAAGCACATTTGAAAAGTTAAAAGTGCATTTAAAGTGACCTGTTTCACTTGGCCTTTAGCTAATGAGGCTGGTTAGCATGCAAATCTCAATCAAAGATGGGAATATCACTATACTCAAGATGCTATTAGTGTGATAGAGGCTGAGACAATTAGTCATCATTTCCTGTACTACATAGTCATTGACCAGCCGTGGAAGATTTTTATCAATCTCAAAAGCATCTCATGGACAATCCCTAATAGATTTTTAGCTAGGAGGAAGCTGGAATTAGTGCAAGAAATAGAGTAAGATGGAGGACCATCCCAGCATATATTTGGTGGATTATCTGGAAAAGAGATAAATACCAGATGTTTTAAAGATAGGAGCAGCAATGTGCAGAAGATCAAGCTTAACTGAATGTTGTTATTCTGCTTTTGGTGTACAAAGGCTAATTCAGAAGACACTCAAACAATGCTAGATGTTTTAGAGTGTGTTTAGGATAACATCTCAAATTTGTATTTGGTGCTTCTTTCTTATTTGTTATTACTTTACTTTCTTTTCTTTTGTGAGTTATTGTGATATCTATTTTATTATTACTCTATTTTACTATTACTTTCATTTAATTCTTTATATTTTTTCAATTCATTATGCTTATAAAAAATGTTTACTTTTTATATAACAAATTATCATGAATTAATTATTTTCATATTTATTTTGGTTCTAATTAATATTGTTGGGAAGTAGGAGAACAAATAAAGTAGTTTTGATGATTGATAAAGTGATGGAATGGTGTCGTATGTGTACAATTATGAAAGATTGCGGCAAAGAAGAAAAAGTATTGAGGCAAAGAAGAAAAAAGTTTAGAATTATAAAGAAGGAAAAGAAGGAAACAAATATGGAAATAAATAAAGAAGGAAAGAAATGAAAAAGTAGCAATTCAAGTCAAAGAAAGAAAGAAATAAAGAAATTACAATTCAAGTCAAATAAGGAAAGAAGTAAATATAGACAAGTTCAAGAAGGAAAAGGATCTGTAATTCCTTTCCTTGTAGAAGTTGAAGGCAAGTCAAATCTATAAAAGGATCAAGAAGTTGAAAGAAAAAAGTATCTTTGCATAAACAAAAATCGAGAGAATTTATCAGCAAAGTCAGAACAATTGCCATTGCATATTCATGAAATATATCATCTTGAGAGCAGTATTTTCTGGAGAAAAAAAGCAGGCCTTCGTCACAGAAACGCAAGGACCAGGTTCACCTTCATCACAACAAAATAAGGATCAGGTTCACGAAACTTGTTCTACTCAGAACTATTGGATATTGAAGTTTTATCAATTAAAGTCTAGGGTTATTAGTCTTTGTTGATTTATTCTAGGTTTATTATTGAGTTGTAATATTCCTAGATTTGTAACAAGAAGTGAGTTTGACTTCTTGGGAGTTGAGTCTTGAGAGAATTGTAACAAGAAGTGGCTTTGACTTCTTGGGAGTTGAGTCTTGAGAGAATTGTAAACAAGAAGTAGGTTTGACTTCTTGGGTGGTTAGAGTTAAGAAGAGTTGAGAGCTTTTGTAAACAAGAAGAGAGTTTGACTTTTTGTTGAGTAGAGAGTTTTCGATTATAATTAATCAAAAAGGGTAGAAGTTTAGAGTTATATTCATTGATTAACTGAGTTGTAAATTTTGAATTAATATAAAACTTCGGTGTGGTTTTTCACGAAATATATCATCTTGAGAGCAGCATTCTAGAGAAAAAACGCAGGCCTTCGTCACAGAAACGCAAGGACCAGGTTCACCTTCATCACAGCAAAATAAGGACCAGGTTCACGAAACCTGTTCTATTCAGAACTATTGGATATTGAAGTTTTATCAATTAAAGTCTAGGGTTATTAGTCTTTATTGATTTGTTCTAGGTTTATTATTGAGTTGTAATAATTCCTAGATTTGTAACAAGAAGTGGGTTTGACTTCTTGGGAGTTGAGTCTTGAGAGAATTGTAACAAGAAGTGAGTTTGACTTCATAGGAGTTGAGTCTTGAGAGAATTGTAAACAAGAAGTTGGTTTGACTTCTTGGGTGGATAGAGTTAAGAAGAGTTGAGAGCTTTTGTAAACAGGAAGCGAGTTTGACTTCTTGTTGAGTGGAGAGTTTTCGATTATAATTAATCGAAAAGGGTAGAATTTTAGAGTTAGATTCATTGATTAACTGAGTTGTAAATCTTGAATTAATATAGAACTTCGGTGTGGTTTTTCCCTTCCTTGAGTTAGGAAGGTTTCCACGATAAATCATTATTTTATTGTGTTACGACAAAATAACAAGAATCTGGTTCTTGTTCTAGGGATAAGTTTTCTTCAAATATATTTAAAAATAAGTAAGTGTGATAAAATTAATAATATATTCTAGATTGAAATTAAAGAAAAAAATGTTAAAAAGTAACTTCACAAATAAAAATGAATAGGATGATATAGTTGTATTAAAGACGATCAAGAATAAAAATGTAATTTCATTCCAATAAAATCTATCAAGAATAAATAATTCTAGAAACATTTTTCTATACATAAAGTTAATGATGATCAAAGGTAAAAATGTAACTTCATCCAAATAAAAATCTACCAAGAATGATAACAAGAAAATTAAATTTTAGAAACGTCTTTAATTATTCTTATTAGTATTACCTCATTTTTGTTATTTCTCCATTTTTATAAGTTATTGTGATATCTATTTATTAAATAAAAGTAAATAAATTATGATTACGCTTAGATCTTATTAATTATATATCCAGTATAATATTAGGTAAAATCAATCAAAATTAAAACTAAAATTTATATGTATATTTAAGGTGTATTGAAATATTTTTTTATTTTGCGACCTTAAATATGCTATATAAAAAAAATTAAAATTCAGAAGTTATTTTCTTTTTTAAATAAAACTAAATAATAAGTTCATATCAATCGAAAAGGGGGAGAATATATGAAAAATGAAATATAATGATTTAAAAACTTTAATTCTTAATTTTAATTTCTAATTTGTTACATATTTGAAATTTACATAAAAAAGAAGCTTAAAAGCACAACATAACAATTTAAGATATTTTTAGAAAAACATAGTTAAAAAACATAATGAAATTTGGTCCCTTATTTTTATCGAAACAAAAATTGGTTGCATATATTATTTAAAAATAACATAAGAACTAAAAAATAGTATGAATCACAGTAAATGACAATTAAAAATATGTGAGAATATATAAGAAATTTCGTTGATTTTTCTAAAATTACTTGTATCACATAAAATGAAACAAATAGAGTAACATATATTATTCTATAATGAAATAAAAAGTATATATATTAACAATTAAAAATATTTTTTTAAAAAACACATATAAAAAATTTAGTTTGCTTTTTCAAATTTCATTTGTGTCATATAAATTGAAAGAAAAAAAACATACGTTGGGTCTGTGCTGGCGCAGGCACCTGATATCTAGTATGTATATACACATTAAACTTTATTATAGCTTTCTGATTTTGTTGTTTGCAGTTCAAAAGTCACTTAAAATAGCAAATACCAACGATGATACACTTCTAGTTGTTTTTCTAAAAATAAAAAAACACTAATAACCATCTAAAATTAGCATGAGTGAAACAAAAAATACTAGGTGATTTGACAAAGTTATCTTGTACTTGATATTGGTGGGAGGTGACAGATATCCAATTAAATTAAATGAGGTACGCCCAAACTGCATGGACGCCACAGTTATAAAAATAATAATAAAAGAAATGAATATATTTATCCATTCGACATTCATCTGGCATATATTAGTTGGTGACGAACATCACAAACTTGAGTTAACAAAGTTTTTCTAGCTGGTGATGCGCAAAGAACAGATCACATAAACAATACGCTGAAAGAAGCCCGGATTACTGTCGTTAGGATCATCAGCTGTCTCATGAAATATTAGATTCACTATACCGACCATATGATATCCATTTTGTGAACAAAGTAGGTCAATTAAAAGACGACAACATCATAAAACTCTTAGTCTTGTCCTTCCCCTTATTCTATTACCTTATATAGATAGGAGGGATCCGTAGGAATCATAAGAGACATGTAGGATATTATCTTGAAGATGCTTCTTTCTAGCGTAAGTATACATGTAATGTTGATATAATAAACAAGAAGTTAAGTTATGTAAACTTCAATAAGTAAAAATAAAATGAAAAGAAGTATTAAGGTAATGACACAATCACATTAATCAGATCATTATATTTAAGCTATCAATACAATTTAACACAATGAATAATAACCATCCAAACAAGGTGTTAGACTCCATATAGCAATAGCAGTATCACCAGTATTAGATCATCTAACAAAAATAATTCCTTAAATATCTGCCCTTGGGTGTGAAAATTTGAAGACGCTTTAACATTATTGATCGTTTGTCCACAACGATCAATTTGGTCTTCACAACGCGGCTTCCTTATGAAAAAAGAAGCACTTTTGAACTTGAATTAGTTGATCTTTCTATGATGATCCGAATTCTAAAAGCCATTTCTCATATCGTTGAATGTCCGTTGCAGAAACGGTGGGCTTTATTTTATCTAAAGCTTCCAGAAAGTCATCCATCGTAATCGAAATATTCAGAATTTCAGATTTGGATATGTTCTTAATTTCCTCTGTAGTTTTCCCTGATATCTTCAGTCTCATCCCATTAAAAGAAGCATCTCTGCAGACTTTTGTTAGATCGTCTCCACTGTAACCTTCTGTTCTTCGTGCCACTTGGTCAATATTCACCCCAGGAGCTAACTGCATTCAATTTTTAGAATTAAAAAAAAACTTTCATTTCAATATATGCGAAATAATGATAGCTTACCTTGATTGATTTCAAGTTTATCTTTATAAGCTCCTTACGACTCTTAAAATCAGGAAGTGGGATGTAAATCCTCTTTTTTAGCCGTCTCCTATAGTAGCACAATGAATCATCAATTAAACAAGATCAAGAGATGAAATGAGCACAAATGAAAGTAAAAAAACCGAATATTCACTACGAATTTATGTAGTAAAGCTAACCTTAGTGCCTCGTCAAGACTCTGGGGGAAATTTGTTGCTGCCAAAACTGTCACCATTTTATTAGAGTTGTTTAACCCATCGATCTGAACTATAAGTTCAGCCTTTACCCTTCGGGATGCTTCATGCTCTGTAGCAGACCTGAGAAACGGCTTCAAAGTATTATAAGTTTAACATAATAAATAATTTTTTATTCTCAAATTAATGTCAATATATTGTTGAGCGGATGCATAAATGATGCGAACGCAAGAGTTAAGAGAAGTAAAGAGGAGCATGACAATTTATTTAGATTTTTAAGGTTTACTTACCCTTTGGAGCTGCAAAGATAATCAATCTCGTCAATAAAAATTGTAGTTGGAGCATGAGTACGGGCAATCTCAAATAAGCACTGTGTCAATCGCTCACTCTCCCCATAGCAATCTCCACACAATGAACTACAAGAAATATTGAGAAATGTTGTCCCACACTCTGTAGCAACAACTTTGGCCAAGAGTGTTTTCCCTGTCCCCGAAGGACCAAATATAAGAACTCCTCTCTGAGGTCTCCGGATTCCCTGGAAATAATATTCAATATAAAAAGTTTCATGTTAAGTATCTACTACACGTTTGTTATTTCCGTGATCGAAAAATTTCTGAGATCATTCAGTTTCAACAAAAAAAACTACTTCACAACTTATTTTCATAATCATTTTAAAACACCAAAAAATGATGAAAAATAATTTCCTGAAATATCACTTCCGTCATACCAAACATGCACCCGCTCCTAATGTATTAGAATACTCTTATTCAGAATCAACAAATTATTGGTCGTACCTGGAAATACTCAGGCATCAACAATGGCAATACCATTACTTCCTGTAGAATCCTCTTTGCTTCACTTAGTCCGGCAATATCATCCCATTTAACTCCTGGATTTGTCTCCAATATTTCCTTTTCAAGCTTAGCAGCTAATTCAGGATGAGGTCCATCGTACAATACTGTTGACTCAATACATTCTTCAGCATTCTAATAGTTGTAGAGGAGGATGATAAGAATATTATAAAGAACATAAAGTCTTAGCTTAGTACAAATAAAGTAAAGGAGCTTTTGGGAAGTGTCGATACAATAACTGCTTTAAGAAAATTTCATCAATTTAACGTATAGTAACTTGATATTTTTGTGAGTAACAATCAAATACACTACCTTTATCTAAAATCTCATCTATATTCAATTTGGCATTGTACGAAAAACATTAAGATTATTTAATTGGATGTTAGGTACACATGAGTATGTATATTTTGAAGAATGACAAAGATTGCATCATGGAACAAGTTTAGCAGACGTCATCTCATGGCAACTCCCATTCGGGTTACTAGAGAGTAAAATGAGAACTAGATGAAGGTCTCTTTTCTAGGTCCACTAATAAGTCATCTGGCAAGAAACGGTGAAGCAAGGCAACTAAGGCTGCTGCTGATAAATGTTAGTACATTCAATGAAATTTGAATAATTTGGCATCATTCAAAAAGGGAACTTTTTCTGAAGCTAGAGTACTGTTGATTATGTTGAATAACGTAAAAGTTGCATATATATATTCAATTTAAACAATGAAACGGGAAAATGCTTTTGGAAATAAATCACTTAAAAGAAGGAATTAGAAATCAATAAAGTTTTGTATATAATTAAGGAAAATTACATGAAAAGCTTTATTTCGAAGCAAATCGCAAAGAGAGGTCCTAACGCAAGAAGAAATTCAAGTCGTAGAAGGATTCCTTAATTGACAAAGTTTTCTTAATTAAATTTAATGCAATCTGCTTTGTTATCTAATTAAGGACAAAATGTGTTAAAAGTTGTTTATTAAAGTCGAGAAGGAGAGAGTGCTACATAGACGAGGATTTCAATTAAATAAGGTTTCTTTGTGGTGACAGTGATAAAGGAACTATTCCTACTTGTTTAAAAAATAGCTTGAGGCGACATAGTTTAAGAAGAACAAACAAGAGGTTCCGGCGAAGGCAAGTTTGAGTTGAACTGGATTTCCACAAAAAAGAGGAGTCCTACATGAAGTAGGATTTCTAGTTGAAGTAGGTTTTGGATTCAAGTCCAAATCTATAAATAGGGTGATAGTTTCGCTTGAAGAAAAATTGTGCACTTACGTAGAGAGAAACTCAAAACACTATAAAGAGGTTTGAAAGAGTTTTGATATTAACTTGGGGAGTGATGCGAGTTATGTAAGAAGTTGTAAGATTGTACTCAAAAGTCTTGTTTAGAATCTGAGTTTTGTGAGTAGGAGTTGTTCAACAAGTTTTAGAACATGAAAAACAGTAGAAGATATAAAACGGGGGAAGGGGGGGTTGTGTCTTTGGGTAGCTAGAAATTAGAGTTTATTATTTCTTAGCTAGGAATTAGAGTTTATAATTCCTCAGGGAATTAGAGTTTATACCTTAGGTTACAGAGTTTTATAATCGTTGTATTGTTTGAAATTTATAAATAATACAAAGTGTTGTTCAGATTGAATATCCTTAAGTTTCAAACAAACACGTTGTCTGTACGTGTGCCTTTGAGGAAATTAGGAGGGTAGAATTCCAATATTGGAGTATGGCAAAATACACAGTGATTTGAGTCTAGATGATGGCATAAATATCAATAGTTTTAAAGGCTATTTAAGATTGGAATTTGGTGAAATCATTTGTGATTTGAGTTTAGATGATGGCCTATAAAGAAACATTGCTAAATGTTCTCAAAGAGTGTTAAAGGTAGATGAAGTATTTGTATCTCTTGTAGTGTCGTGGTTCCGTAACTACTCACCTGCACATTTGAGCTGATCCCTCCTTCCTACAGAATTTTTATAAAACAAATAAAGTTTATATTATAAAACGTTCTCAAAAACAAGATATTTGTATCAATTATTGCGGTTTGTTTCTATAGTTATTTACCATCCTAGCACTGTAAATGTTGTCGACGAGGTTGTTGTTTGACACGATAGAATTCTGTGAGTAATTAGTTGCTGCTAGACTTGAAACTTGTTGTATTAGTATTTGTTGTACTTGGTATGGTTGAAGCATACGTTGTTGTTGTTGCTCTTGTTGTACTTGAAGTCCTACAACTGCGCATCCTTGTAATGATGCCACCTGCAAAATTATGCAAGGTAAGTTCTCATATAATAAGTCTTTTTGATTTTAGAGTCATATTTTGTAATTTTCTATTGTGGTTGAGGAATTAATGCAAGAGTAGTTCAACTCTACAGATAACTTATATTTATAATTTGATAGATTAATTACATGCTCCAATAGGTTAGAACATAGTAAGGGGTATTTGGCAGGATATATTAGAGAAAATGATACATATATTAGCTGTGTTATTATATAGTTCTTTGATTAATAGGATTTTCAGCTAACTATGGTATCATCAATACAAGCATTATTGATCCTCAAGATACCAAAATGTAGATAAGAAATGATTCAGGCATTACCGATTACATTATCACTAATAAACTCTATTTCGTCTATTCTCATTGATGCTACAAATTAACAACCCCTCATATTTTACAAATATTATACCATTCACCATCAAATAACTAAGAAAAAACCATTTTTTTTCAACAACAAACAATTAAGTCGATCAGAATGTATAAAGTACGACACATTAAGAAAATTTGAGTAGTCTCATAAAACCTTTGTTGAGCCTCAAATCCAAATTAAAACCAATTGAGATATATTGCTTTACAAATCCAAGGATCTAATTAACATGACTTTGGATGAATTAGTAGCAAATGTCAAAATTTATGAGATAAATGTTGACAAAAGAGGTGAAGGAAACAAAGAGAAAAATCTTGGATTTAAAGCAACTGAAAGTGATGAATCATACATTGATGATGATTATTTGGCACAAATAAGAAGAAACTTCAAGAAATCTTGAAAAGGGGATTGAATTCTGAAACGAAAACACCACCTACGAAAAGAAAATTGTTGAGAAACCACAAGGTGAAGGTTGTATCAAATGTGGTCAAACAGATCATCAGATTAAGAATAGTCCTATGTGGAAAGAAGAATGGAAAAAAGAAAGAGCTGAAAAAGAGAATAAGGAACTTCTTAATGAAAAGAAAACAAAGAAATGGACCAAGCAATGTATGCAGTTTGGGGAACAGGCTCGGACATGTATGACGAAGATGATGAGGACCTCGCTTTGATGGCCATAGAAGAATCAGAAACTGAACCTGAATCAGACTCTGAAGGAATAGAGGTAAATCTATTTTATTTAAAAGATAAACTAGTAAAGTTCTCGAAGAAAAAGCTATTCTTCTTATTACTCACTTCCATAGATACAATTCAAGAATTTCTTAAAACCTAGAATCAATTGCTTGCTTCCATTACTATTTTAAAGTTTGAGTATATTGATCTTGAAAAAGTTAATTCTGATCTCAAGAAAGAAAATCAACTCCTAAAGGAACAAGTACAACAACTTGATTCCTGCACTTTGGCTCTCAAATCAAAATTTTTTAAACAAAGTATTACTGGAAATGAAAAAGAAAAAAATTAGTTTTGACCAAATCAGATGTGACCAAGATCTAATGAGGTTAAACAATGAACTATATTCTGAAAGGAAAAATTCTAGGAGAATAAATCTTGAATTGTCTAGGATAAAAACTGATCTGGAAGGATCTAATAAATGAAAAAAATCTTCCATGATTGTAACATATCTAGGTAACAATACTAGGAACATAAGAACTGGAATAGGGTATGAACAACCTAGGATTGAAATTTTTTTTTATGTATTATTGGTGGTAACTCAAGCCACTCTAAGGAAAATTGTCCGAAATACAGAGTTACTGCAGAAAATAAAGCAAGAGGAACTTATAAAATTGTTCAAAGGAATATGTATACTCAGAGGAAAACTAATCTTCTCAAGTGGGCTCATAGAGATCTTATTCATCCTTTTTATCAATACAAATGATCCAAGCTAGTCTGGGTTCCTAAATCTAACCTTTGAATTTGCACGAAAAGTGAGAGGAAGCATGAAACATTCACAGATTGAACATGTTGCTTCAGATGCATGATTGAAATTAGAAGAAATTCCTCTCACTTGAGAAAAAAAGAAAAAAAGGAATGGATGAATAACATTGATTGAAAAAAAGAGGTTGAAACAAAATAAGGGAAAGACTGAAGAAGAATGTGAAAGAAACAGGTCCAACATATGCAGTATCTAACAGTTTTGCGCACTCAGATGATTAATCAATCAAAAATATGATCAGCCAAGGAAAACACTTTCAAAAGAAACAATTTGGAACTTGGGGATAATTAAGGCCACATGAGTATCCCTCAATGAGTAATGAACATTGCGCATACTGCCCTATGATCTTGAATTGTATGCTATGTTTTGTATATTAAGTTGTATGTCTCTACACCACTCTTAAAGTCATGCTACTCATGCACTATAACATTTGTATTTGCATATGACACAAGAGAGAGACTTAGTAAAATTGAAGCAAAATTCAGCATTATCTAGAGATCTAAGGTATGTGCACTACAATTATTCATGATTAAATATAAAGGCAATGCATTTGAACCTATTTCTTCCACTTGTCCCAAAAGATATTCATGTCCTAAATTCAACAAAAACAAATATCTTCTTAAAAACCTTATCCCAATGTGATGGTCTATTGTTGAAATAAATTTGGTTGAGGACACCTCTACTTTAGTGCCTTATAAAATATGGATTGAGAAAGTAGAGTGTGCTGGTTCTTAGGGGGAATATTTTGTATTGAGTAAAGTTTTGGAGGATTTAACTTGTTAGGGGGAATATTTTGGGGACCATCCACTTGAACAAAATTCACTTGTTAGGCTCAACTTGGGTACATCTATAATGAGGGGGAATCGATGGGAGACCCATCTGTCGAACCTAGTTTTTCTATTGGGAACCATATAATCTGGGATTTCGGATTAATGTAAAAATGTATTATAGTTAGTACTTCACCTGATAGTACCACGTCCAGGAAACAGATTGAGAGAACGTGTTTCTTTACAAATGATATTCAAGAAAATTTGTTCCTCTTACTAACTTTATTGAAATTAAAGATGAGTGAACTATTGTTTCTGCAGAGGGTAGATTATTGATTGAACAAGTTCCTTAAAAGTGATATAAAAAGAAAAAAATAGGATTGAGCGTGCATAGATCAAAGTTACATTTGAAATTGAGAAAACTGCTAATTTTGTTAATCCAAAAGTTATTTTTGATGCTAAAAATGACTTTTATTTATCCTCTCATCTTTTTATATTACCTAGCCACTGTAGCCTTTGACTTCAAATTTTTTCTCATCACAAGTGCTTGATTCTATATTTAATTTTGGTTACATTTGTGGTGTATATGCTTTTTGATTAATGCTAATGTTGGGTTTGAGTTTCAGGTTCATGTCTATCTCCTATGTTTGTGCAAATACTTTGCTATTTCTAACTGAGTTCTTGATTTTTAAGTGTGGGTGTAGGTGATAGCCCTAGTGGCCATGATATCAAATTTGTTTCTCTTAGTGTAGTGTATGCATTCAAAGTGTTTTATGATGTCAAAAGGGAGAACTGCATACTTATGTAATATTTATAACCAAATTGGTCTAACTTGATCCTCTAATGTGTTTGTTTTGTGTATTGAGTTTTGAGAAATTGACACAACACAGATTGATCTATTTCACACAAGAAGCAATGATTTCTCATCATCAAAAAGGGGAATTTGTTCGGTACACATGAATATGTATATTTTGAAGAATAACAAAGATTGCATCATGAAGTAGGATTTCTAGTTGAAGTAGGTTTTGGATTCAAGTACAAATCTATAAATAGGGCGATAGTTTAGCTTGAACAAAAATTGCACACTTACATAAGAGAAAATCAAAGCACTATCAAGAGGTTTGAAAGAGTTTTGATATTAACTTGGGCAGTGTTGTGAGTTAAGTGAGAAGTTGTAAGATTGTATTCACAAGTCTTGTTAACACTGAGTTTTGTGAGTAGGAGTTGTTCGACAAGTTGTAGAACTTGAAGAACATTAGAAGATAAAAAAATGAGGTGTTTTGTGTCTTTGGGTAGCTAGAAATTAGAGTTAATAATTTCTTAGTTAGGAATTAGAGTTTATAATTTCTCTAGGATTATAATTCCTTAGGTTACAAAGTTTTGTATTCATTTTATTGTTTGAAGTTTATAAATAATACAAAGTGTTGTTCGAATTGATTATCGTTAAGTTTCAAACAAACAGAAATACGTTGTTTGTACGTGTTCCTTTGAGGAAATTAGGAGGGTAGAATCCAACATTGGAGTTTGGCAAAATACATTGTGATTTGAGTCTAGATGATGGCCTAAATATCAATAGTTTTAAAGGCTATTTAAGAATGGAATTTGGTAAAATCATTTTTGATTTGAGTTTAGATGATGGCCTATAAAGAAACATTGCTAAATGTTCTCAAAGAGTGTTAAAGGTAAATGAAGTATTTGTACCTCTTGTAGTGTCGTGGTTGTGTAACTACTCACCTGCACATTTGAGCTGATCCCCCCTTCCTACAGAATTTTTATTAAACAAATCAACTTTATATTTTAAAATGTTCTCAAAGACAAGATATTTGTATCACTTATTGCGGTGTATTTCTTTAGTTATTTGCCATCCTAGCACTGTAAATGTTGTCGATGAGGTTGTTGTTTGACACAATAGAATTCTGTGAGTGATTAGTTGCCGCTAGACTTGCAACTTGTTGTTGTGCTTGTAGTTGTAGTAGTATTTGTTGTTCTTGGTACGGTTGAAGCATATGTTGTTGTTGTTGCTCTTGTTGTACTTGAAGTCCTACAACTGCGCATTCTTGTAATGATGCCACCTGCAAAATTAAGTAATGTAAGTTCTCATCTAATAAGTCTTTTTGATTTTAGAGTTATATTTTGTAATTTTCTATTGTGGTTGAGCAATTAATCCAAGAGTAGTTTAACTCTACAGATAACTTATATTTATAATTTGATAGATTAATTACATGCTCCAATAGGTTAGAATATAGTAAGGAGTATTTGGCAGGATATATTAGAGAAAATGATACATATATTAGCTGTTTTATTATATATTTCTTTTTTTTTAATAGGAATGTCAGCTAACTATGGTATTAGCAATACAAGAAAATTTGAGCAGCCTTATAAAACCTAGGTTGAGCCTCAGATCCAAATTAAACCAATTGTGCTAGATTACTTTACAAATCCCTATGAGGTGAAGGATTACGTTAAAATCATGTGACCTAGTTCTGGTGAAAAGATTCACAAAAAAATTAATATATAGTATAACATATATACCTGATGTAGAATTGGGGTCTGAATTTCGAGTGATGGGGTATTACTGGTATTGAAATCATGATCAACGTTACGAAGACCATCGACATAAATGAGACTGAAGCCAATATAGGACAATCCTTTTGAATGAATTAGGAAAAAGGGGTAAGCATCCATGTACATTTTAAGGAAAGATGGAACCCTTTGCAAATCGTTATTTAGTGTGGGTTCAACGTCCATAATCCATTCTAATAGCTCAGTAATCCCTAGCTGTTCATCTTTGTTGATGTCGAACTTGTTAAAAATTATCTTCATCATCTCCTCTTTGCTATTAGAAGGATCCACATCCACCATCTTTTCCTTTGACAAACTTGTTAACACTAGCTATATGAATGAATAGGACTTGAAACTTAATGTAACATGTATGCGTTGTTCAGTTTTTAGGGCTATATATAATAGTTGAAGATGAAACGGGGAAGAAATGGGGCACATTTTTTTTAATTACATAATTCTAATGGAGAAAGATTTCATGTTTCAGTCAAACAAATATTTAATTAAGGCATTAAGGGTGTGGTTGGTACGAAGGAAAACATTTTCTGAAAAATATTTTTCAATTTTCTCATGGTTGAGTTAAATGTTTTCCAAATCAACTCATTTTTCTCAAATTTAAGAAAAATGACTAACCTTCAAAATTTAAGAAAAACATTTTCCAAAACTCTCTTTCAACTTCAAATTACAATTTTTTTTTTGTTAAAAAAATCTATTTATTTTGTCTTACCCTCAAACCATCCCCCAATCACTACCCCCCCCCCCCCAAAAAAATTAAAACTAAATTTAAAAAAAATATTTTTTACTTCAATTTTTACCCCCCTTCCCAACCCCCTACCATCCCCCTCCACCCCCCCCTAAAAAAAAATATAAATTAAAAGTTGTTTTTAAAAGATATTTCCAATTTCAATTTTTTATTTGCTTACCTTCCACCCCCACCCTCGCTCCCCCATTTGCCTCCTTACCCAGCCCCCTCAAAAAAGAAATTCAGTTTTTTTTTTTAAAAAAAAAGTTCAACTTCAAAATTTTATTTTTTTCATCCCTACTCTTAACCCTCTCCCCCAACTTTTTTCATTAATAAAACACTAGAAAAATCTTTTCTGAAAACATATTTTTTACTCACAAACCAAAAATTAGAAAATACGTCATAACCCACTTGTTTTATCAAAAAACATTTTTTTCATACCAAACATACCCTTAATAGTCGTATTTGTAATAAAGTAAATATGGAGATGTTAAGTATTCCTTTTGTACAAATACTTGTCCATTATTGACTTGTCACACTTCTTAAGAAACTATAAATAAAATGTTATAATATTAATATTTAACATATTAAATTGCTTTATTTTGGAGTTATAAAAATGAACATTGGAATGGATGACTTCTACATCATCCATTAGCATTGGTTATCCATCAATGTATTTCATTCTTAATTCCTCCATTACTCTTTGTAACCTATGTAACCTATGTAACTCCCATTGTATCTTATGTAACCTATGTAACTCTCATTGTAACCTATGTAACTCCCATTGTAACCTATGAAACTCCTAAGGCCATTATCTTCACTATTTACTACCTCGATTATCTTCCTATTCATTGCTAGGAAGACTTCTTATAGTAGAAATAGTGGTAGTTTTCATTTGGTTTTAGAGACACACAAAACACAAGAGAAAACAAAGAGTGAAAGAGTTAGTCTAAAAGAGAGTTCTTATTAGTTGAAGGGAGGTGTTCTTTTTTGTAGAGCTTTGGACTCAACTCTTGTCCAGAGTTGTTGAGTTATACTTTGTGAAGGCTGTTGTATCCTGGAGGGGAAAAGTCAAAGAGGACTACTGCTGGACCGATGAAAACATTTGCTGCAGTGGGCTTGAATGTCCTTAAAGAGAGCGAGATATCCGCGCCTCAGCCTGAAGAGATTGATTTCTTCATTTTTATTTTCAATTGTAATCTTGCAATTTTATTATCTTATAAGTTTTTCACTAACAATTTTAAGGAGATTCAATGATGGCTACAATTGAAAAAATCGCGGATGTCAAGATGGGAGATCTTAACAAGCCATTTCGGTTCAATGAGAACCATTTCAAAAGATGGAAGGGTAAAGTACTTTTCTACTTAAGTCTTCTCAATGTTTCTTACGTTTTAACTGAGAAGAATCCAAATAAAGAAGACATTACCACTATGAATGGTGATGAAACTATTTCTCATCTAGAGAAAGTGGAAAAGTACGATGGTGATTCCTATAAGTGTTGGTATTATCTTCTTAATTGTCTATCTGATAATTTTTATGATTATTATGATAGAACTTACTCTAGTGCAAAGAAAATTTGGAAGGCATTGCAGAGTAAGTATGATACCGAAAAGGCTGGAGCGAAAAAATATGTAGCTAGTAGATTTTTTCATTTCCAAATGGTGGACAACAAATCAGTGGTAGATCAAGCTCAAGACTTCATCATGATTGTTGGAGAGCTTAGGTCCGATGAGGTTAAAATTGGAGATAACCTTATTGTTTGTGGCATAGTGGATAAACTTCCACCTTCTTTGAAGGAATTTCAAAAAACTATGCGCCACAAACAAAAGGAAACCTCTCTTGAAAGCTTGATAATGAAAATCCGCATGGAAGAAGAAGCAAGAGGCCAAGATGCACTTTTACAAACAGAAGAGAACAACATCACATCGAAGGTAAATATAATTACTTCGAATAATGCTACTCCTGAAACTCACAAAAATACTTCTTTAAAGCCTAAGAAGAAAAAATTCAAGAAAAATAATGGTAGACCTCCCAAGAAAAATAATGGTGAAAATCACCAAGCACAAACTCAACAAGTTCAAGAAAAGGGATCATGCTTTGTTTGTGGCAAGAGTGGGCATATTGCTCGATTTTGTAGATTCCGGAAACGTGGTCCTAACCCTCAGGCAAACGTTACCGAAGAACCTTCTGTGGCGGTGATTACCGACATAAATATGATTGAGAATGTTGATGGATGGTGGGCTGATTCTGGTGCAAACCATCATGTCTGTTATGACAAAGACTGGTTTAAAAAATATACTCATTTTGAGGAGCCCAAAACCATCATGCTTGGTGATGCTCACACTACTCAAGTGCTTGGAAAGGGAGATGTTGAATTGTGTTTTAGTTCTGGAAGGATATTAATATTGAAAGATGTACTTTATACTCCTTCTATGAGGAAAAATTTGATGTCTAGTTTTCTTCTTAATAAAGCAGACTTTAAACAGATTATTGAATCTGATCAATATGTAATAGTGAAGAAAGGTATTTTTGTGGGGAATGGGTATGCATGTGATGGGATGTTTAAGTTGAATGTTGAAATGAATAAAACTTCTACTTCTGTTTATATGCTTTCTTCTACTAATTTTTGGCATGCTCGTTTGTGTCACATTAATGATCGCTATGTTGGAATCATGAGTAGTTTGGGATTAATCCCAATGGTCAAAAAGAATTTTGAAAAGTGTGAGGCTTGTAGTAAAGCCAAGATCACTAAAAGGCCTCATTTTCAAGTTGAAAGAAAAACTGATTTGTTAGAATTAGTTCATACTGATATTTGTGAACTTGGTGGAATTCTAACTCTTGGAGGTAATAGATATTTTATCACTTTCACTGATGATTTTTCTAAGTTTACATATGTTTACTTGATGAAAAATAAAAGTGATGCTTTTGAAAATTTCAAAACTTATCTCAATGAGGTTGAAAATCAGTTTGGAAGAAAAAAAAATTAGAAGTGATAGAGGCCGTGAATATGAATCAAATGAGTTTAATTCTTTTGTTAGATCATTGGGAATAATTCATGAAACTCCTCCTCCTTACTCTCCTTCATCTAATGGAGTAGCGAAAGGAAAAATAGAACTTTGGTTGAATTGACTAATGTCATGCTTATTGAGTCACACGCACCTTTACATTTTTGGGGTGAAGCTATCTAAACTGCTTGTTATGTGTTGAATCGTGTGCCTCATAAAAAGTCTAAATTGACACCTTTTGAATTGTGGAAAGTTTACAAGCCAAGTTTGGGATATCTAAGAGTTTGGGGTTGTCTAACCTTTGTGAGGCTAATGGATCCCAAGATTACAAAGTTGGGTAAGAAAGTTACTACTTGTGCTTTTCTTGGTTATGCTTCAAATAGTACAGCCTATAGATTTTTAATCTTGAAGATAATATTGTAATAGAATCTGGTGATGCTATTTTTCATGAAAATAAATTTCCTTTTGATACTAAAAATAGTGGGGGTCAAAGGATTGAACAAAATAGTTAGTCACTACCTAGTTCTTCTACTTCAACTTTGAAAAATAAAGAAGTTGTTGATTTTGAGTTAAGAAGAAGTAAAAGAGCTAGAGTAGAAAAAGATTTTGGTCCTGATTTTTATGTGTTTAATGTTGAAAATGACCCTCTAACTTTGAAAGAAGCATTATCTTCACACGATTCTATTTTTTGGAAAGAGACTGTAAATGATGAAATGGAATCTCTAATTTCTAATAAAACTTGGAAGTTAGTTGATTTGCCACCGGGTTGTAAAACAATTGGTTGTAAATGGGTCTTACGGAAAAAGTTGAAACCGGATGGATCTATTGATAAATACAAAGCTAGGCTAGTTGCAAAAGGTTTTAAACAACTAGAAGGCCTAGAATTTTTTGATACTTTTTCTCCGGTAACAAGAATTACATCCATTAGACTTTTAGTTGCTATGGCTGCCATTTTTGATTTGCAAATTCATCAAATGGATGTAAAAACTTCTTTTCTAAATGGAGACCTAAATGAAGAAATATATATGGACCAACCCGAGTGTTTTGTTGAAGCAGACCAAGAAAGCAAAGTATGTAAACTTACTAAATCCCTATATGGCTTGAAACAGGAACCAAAGCAATGGCATGAAAAGTTTTATTCCTGCATGATTGAAAATGGTTTTAAAACAAATGAGTGTGATAAGTGCATATATCATAAGTCTTGGAATAATTCTCATGTGATTATTTGCCTATATGTTGATGATTTGTTGATCTTTGGCTCTAACATGAATGTTATTGATGAAGCTAAAAATGTTCTTAGAAGCCATTTTGATATGAAAGATCTTGGTGAGGAAAATTTTATTCTTGGAATAAAAATAACAAGAACATGTGAGGGGATTTTCCTTGACCAGTCACATTATGTTGAGAAAATTTTGAAAAAATATAACTTTCATGATTGCAAGCATGTTGCTGCTCCTTTTGATTCAAGTGTTTACTTATTTCCTGTTGAAAGTGAAAATGATGTAATAAATCAAAAGGAATATGCTAGTATAATCGGAAGTTTGAGATATGTGACT